GTGTGTGTGTGTGTGTGTGTGTGTGTGTGTGTGTGTGTGTGTGTGTGAGTGAGTTAGAGAAAGTGTATGTGAGTGTGGTGTGTGGTATGTGTGTGTGTTTGGATCTTGTGAGTATGTTAAAAGGGATATTACTCGTTAATTGTCTTTTCTTTGTTTGTTTTGTAATAAAATTGTGTGTTAATGTGTGTTTGAAATAGAGAGAGAGAAGGGATACGAAAAGAGAGAGATTTAGATAGTGTGTGAGAGAGAAGTAGATAGATAGAGAGAGATATACGCATATATTGTATTTAAATATTAAGTATATGCACAAAACGAATTGTCGATCGAAAGTGTTTGCAAAAAAAAAACGAATGCACGATATTTTCTTCTTCTGATTTTTCTTCTTTTCCTCAATGTATTTGGTGTTTGATTATTCGAGATTTGAATAAATTTGTGACGAGAAAAAAAGTCAATGAAAAATCAATCACATTTTATTCAGTTGTGTGTTAATCGAAAGACTAGATTGAGAAAAATTGTCCAAACAATTATATAAAATGTGGTCCAAGTGTGAATGAGGGAGGAGGCGATAGGCACACACCCTTTTTGCTCTCTGTTTTCTCTCTCGATAATAAGAATCTCTAACTACTTAATTGTTAGGGCTTAAAGGATGTTTCGTCTTTTTTTTATTATTATTATTTTGTTGTTGTTCTCAGTTTGTGTGCTTGGATACAAACTAGAAGAATGATTTATATAAATTGTCCTTTAGATTAACTGTGATATGTATTGAATGCATGTGTATGTGTAGGGATTTTTTTTAATTCAAATATTAAATTTAAATTTGTGTGTATCCAAGTTTATTGACAAAAAAAATGGAATAAGAGAGAGTGTGTGTGTGTGTGTGTGTTTGTGTGTGATCGGAAAAAAGTTTTGTAGTAATTGATCAGGTTCTCGATGCTGTTCTTATTAAGTTTTGTTGTTTGTCTTTTTTTATAGCTCGAATAGAATGAATGCAGACTTAGCTTTTTATTTCTCAAAATGTCCGTTTGCTACTCTTTACGATAGACTTTTCGTTTTTCATTGAGTGTGCAATATGGCAATAGCAAATTTTAATTACTTGTTTCTTTTTTCCTTCAAATGCCACAACTTGTGTGGATGTGAATAGATAACAAAAATTTGTTAAATAACTTTCCTATCTAGCTAACTGTGTGTTCAACTTACAATTCATTAGATAATTTTTCGTTTAACTTTTTTTTCTTCTTTAAGTTTAAATTTTCATTTAGAATATTAGCATAGTAGTAATTTTATAATCAGGGTTTGAGTTAAATGTTCGGTCTTTTATCTCTTTATGTGTGTTTTTTTTCTGCTTCTCCGTATTTTTTTTTGTGTTCAACGTCTTATTCTTTTACTTATATAGTTTGAATTGATTGGAACAATATTTGTAAAGGAATGTTTACTTGATTTTTTTTTTAGTTTTGAACGATGAATGTGTTTGTTGCTGTATATCTCAAACGGTAAAGATTTTTGTTAATTTAAATGGAATTTTGAGCATAGGAAATTATGTTTTCTTTTATATAAATTATGTGTGTGTGTTAAATCTCTGGTAAATTTTTTGTATGTTATTTTTCGTTTGTAAAATGATTGAAAAGAATAAGAGTGTTTGAAAGAGGTTTTTTTCCCTTATTGTGTTTGAGTATTCCAAATCCAACTACTTGACTTATATATTTTTCTCTCTTAAAAAAGATTTTATCTTTTTGTTTTTGTAGTTTTCCTTTTTCCAACTTGATTTTGAATGCTAAATAAGATTTAATTGAAAAAAATTTAATCTATAAATTGGTTTATTATTAATTATTATTTAATGTAATTTTTTTTTTCATAAAATTGTTCTTTTTTATTATTAGTTTTTTTTATTAACAAAAACAATTGAAATTGTGACTTATGTTCTTGTTGGTTTTGTTTTAATTATTTGGACGGCACTAATTTTATGCAAGTTGAATACCGATCAAGGTTCTCTTTTCTTGGTTGTTTATTCTTTTTTCAATTGCATTTCTCTCTCGCTACAATTAAAGTGATGAAATTGTTCAGATCTTCAATAAATTCAATTACTTATAAGAATTCGTTGTTTGCTGATTTTGTTTTATTCTTCTTCTTCTTTTTTGCCAACAAAAGAAACGAATACACAGTTAAACGATCAACAGTTAAAATACTACAAATGAAGAAAATTTTAATTAAAAAGTTTAAAAGTTTACTCGAGCAAGATGTGGCTTAAATTTCATCGATAATTGAAAAAAAAAAAAAGAACAAATAAAATTTTCTTTAGCTAAAGTTTGTGATTACAATTTAAATTGTTAAAAATGTGAAAACATATGAAACGCTTCTCAATGGTGTTGTTTCTTTTGAAACTTTTCAAACAGGCACTAATTCAGTTGTTTAACAAAAATATTTTGGCCAATCATGTGATTTATTGTCGTTCAAATTTTGTGCTTTGTCGTTTAACTAGGTTTTTTGGTTTTAACTTCAACAGTTTTGAAAAACGAGTGAGGTGTGTATGTTCCTTTTTCTCCTTTTGAATTGACTACAACTTTTTTGATTTATCTATAACAATTGTTGCTTAGCCATTTCAGTTGCTACTGACAATGTTCCATTGTTTGTTCTCTTTAAGATAAAATCTATTTTAATTTAGACTAATTAAATTGTATTATTATTTATTTATTTATTAATTTGTTGTTGTCGTTTTTTTTTAAATCATTAATTTTTTGTTTGTGTGTGTTAGTTTTCTTAAAGCAAATGCTTATCTGAAGACACTTTAGTGTAATGCCCGGCGATTACGCAATGATGGCTTATGATACGGATTCGGATAAACCATAAAATTTTGATCAGTTTCATGTGTAGCAGCATTTTCGTTTTTTTCGTCATATATATGAATCCAATGTTGACGATTCAATAAAATGTCTCGAACTCACTAATACTTTCTCTCAGTGTAAATAAATGGTTCCGTGGTAAACCAACTTCTTTGGCCAAAACAATCACTTCAAATCAATCGATGAATATTTTAATTAATTGGCGGCTATGCGTTGTACTCGATGATATAACTTTTCGAATGGTTGCTCGATGGCATAGGAATTCCTGGAATACAAAAAAAAAAAACGAAAAAAAACACATTTGAAAAAGAAAAGAAAATAAAAGAAATATTGGATTATTACACTTGTAAACAAAATCGAAAGAATTATGAATTGAGTAAAGTGTTTCATCACCACAGGTGGTTGATTGTACAGGAAAAAGTTGGATTTTGAAACACCTGTTTGCCGCACGAAAATCCAACTACTTTTCACATCCACCTCAACTTTCAATGACACCATATTTCCGTTCCGTATTTACCATACACGCACAAACAGAAACCATATACACAAAAACGTTATACACATATACGTTACATTCACAAATTCCGTGTGGACATTTTAATACGGAAATTCAGCATTAACTGCAATTATAGTAATGGCATTTACAAACATCATAAATAAATCGCCATGAAAAATTGCAATTTGTGGAAAGTTGGTGAAATGCAAACAATACGATTTAAACCGAAACAAAAAAAAACAACAACTGTATCTTTTACAGACACACATTCATACATTCTCTTATTTCGAACCGAAGTAAGTCAACGGCGTCAGTAGAGAAGCAGCAATAAGAGCAGAAAATTAGTGCCATTTTGTGGGCACTTCTGCATAAGCATCATTCGCATCCGTTCTTATACTGCATATGAGAGACAGCAAGTCTCCCGTCTCCGTAAACTCTCTCTCTCACACACACTCTTTCTCTCTGTTGTGTGTGTACATATACAAAGAACCGAATAAATAAATCGCTCTTTCTCTTGTTCATTTGCTTCATCAATTTTTATAACGTCACATACATTCACTTGATATCGTGTGTTTCTTGAAAATCGTTTCGCTCATTTTAAAACAGTAAACAATTTATTACAATTTGGCAAAGGATTTGGAAGATGTCGTCGATAAGGACGACGAGAAAAAGAGTGAGAATGAAGAGAGAAAGAGAGAGAGAGAAAACGAACCCAGAGAGAAAACGTATATTCTGTGTCTAACATGCAATGGTCACCACATATATACTTACTTGTAGTCGCAAAATACATTAATCGCCATAATAATAACTGTAAAATATTGATCTGAAGATGTACACGAGCAAGCAAAACTGAGCATCGGCACCATCAGCAGCAGAGCAGTAATAACAACAAGAATAGCAGCAGCAACAGCAACAATAAGAACAACAGCAACAAAAAAAAACAAGTCACACACTGAGACAGAGAAACAAGAATTGTAGTGTCCTTGCGCACGCACTTTTATTGAGATGAGTTGGATTTTATTGTGTACTATATGAACTTTAACGGAATGTTCAACTTTTTGCGATTTTTCTTTTCGTCCTCATGAAATTCGATGTCGTTTTTTTTTTATTTTGTTTCTGTATTGTATGCGCGCGTGTGTGTGTTGATTACACCAAATAAGACACTTAAGAACAATAGTTGATCTGATTTTTTTCTCTCCCGAAATTCAATTTTTACTCAATTTCACTAACTATTTTTTTTATCGCCCTTTTCTTAGCTAATGTTTTAAGGCATTGAAGTTGAAGTAAAAAAAAATGAATCAGATTATTATCAATAGAAAATATTTATTTAGTTTTTTTTTCTCGTTAAGCTAAGTTTAAGTGTATTAAAGTTGGAGCTTTAAAAATATGTATTGGAAAAAAGAACTTAAGACAACGTTTATTATTATTTTTTTCTTAAATTTCTTAAAATGTAAGAATTTTTTCCGTTTTCAACACTATTTTAATGTGAAACTAAAGCACTCGGCATTCTTCATTTTTCTTCTTGTTTAATAAATTTCCCGAAAAAAAATACACTCAACACTTGATTGGTCCAGTATAAATTAAATTGTTTCTTTCTTTGTCATAAAATCCAAAATCGTGTGGTTTTTTTTTTAATTTTTCAAAAAAAAA